TTTTGGGCTGATGCAATGGCCACTGCTGCCTATGTCACTGCACGGAGTCCAGCTTCTGGAATCGATGGAAAGATTCCATACCAAGTCTTCTTCAATTGACAAGTGGACCCCACTCTCTTCCAACCCTTTGGGTGCCCAGCATATGCCTACACACCAAAGGAACAACATGGAGGAAGATTTCGATCCCATGGAAAGAAATGTATCATGATTGGGTACACTTATGGACAGCAAGCCTACAAGCTCCTTGACATAGAACGTCGAACCATCATTTCCAGCCGACATGTCACTTTTGATGAAACCGGAACCATCCCAGAAGCGGAATTAGCCCCTTGGAGTGCCCCCACTGTTGAGGGACAGTTGGAGGGCCTACTTCCAGAGCACCTCCGCAAATCAGAACACAACCATAATGATGATGGTGATGATGATCAACGTCCACCAAATCAAATCCCAGACCAGTAGGAGGCATGGCTCAGCAAAATGCTCCAGAACCACCAGCAAGCCCTACAATCCAAGAGCTCACTTAGATGCTCCTCCATTACATCCACCACCTCTGGTCCCAGCAGTTCCAGCAGTTCCAGTGGTTCCAGCAGTTCCAGCAGTTCCAGTAGTTCCGGTAGTTCCAGCCCCAGTTCCAGCTCCTGCATGTGTCATAGCCAGAGTATGACGTAGTGCTCGACAACGACAACCTGCAAACAAGAATAAGGAGTACCAACGTACATTGGATGAAGAAGCTAAAAGGCAAGCAAACCAAAAGGAACATGAGGCTCAGTCACTCCCACCGGAACCAGGTCCCACTTCTGAACTACCAGATCAAACTCCAGAACCACCGAAAGACGAACCTGACATTCCAGGAGCATTCTCAGCATCCATTGAGGACATGGAAGACTTCATATTTGCCAGATCTGCCAACTCCAACTCTAATGAACCCCTTCCTAATGCACTCAAGGAAGCTTACTCTGGTGGAGAAGCAGAACTGTGGAAGTCAGCCGTGGAGGAAGAACTCCAGAGTCTCAACTCAAACCATGTCTATGAAACGGTTCTCATCCCGAAAGGGGTCACTCCGATTACCTTGAAGCCCATCTTCCACATCAAACGTGACCAACATGGAAATGTGGAATGGTACAAAGTTCGAACAGTTGCATGAGGTTTCACCCAAAAGGAAGGCATCGACTATCAGGAAGTCTTTGCTCCAGTAGCAAATCTTGACTCTGTTTGCACTCTCATTGCCTTGGCTGCAAAACACAACCTGGAGTTAGATCAGATGGATGTCTCAACAGCCTACCTGAATGGAGAGCTGGAGGAAGATCTATACATGCTCCCTCCAGAAGGTGTTCCCATCCAACCTGGACATTGCTGGAAGCTCCGACGTTCCCTGTATGGACTTAAGCAGGCAGAAAGAACTTGGAACAAGACTTTGGATTGGAAGCTCAGAGAGCTAGGTTTCATCCGCTTAGACGCAGAGACCTGCCTCTATGTCTTCCGGAAGGATGGAGAGGTCTGTTTCCTCGTCGTTTATGTCGATGACCTACTCTTGGCTGCCACCACTCACAAGTTCATGGACTCCATAAAAGCCAAACTCTCTGCCAGCTTCAAGATGCAGGATCTTGGAGAGGCCAAGTATATTCTA